TAATAAAACTGTCGAACAAGCCACCGGTGCAAGCGATTACGTCGAAAGAATGAGAACGTTAGGTCCACGACATACGCGACAATTTTGTCGGGGAGTGTAACCCGAGCATGTCGAATGCGGTACGGTAACGCAGACTACAATCGGCGATTAAGTGAGCGCGCCGGGTTGAATTCGTACACGCACCAACACGATCGCATCCTGTTCACTTTATTAAAATCACGGACAGCAGATATAATAGGGAACAGGCCGGTCAGAATAAAATGTACGCTGATCCCGACGTTGCTTTCTCGCTCTCCTCGAAAAAAACAATCTTGTTTTCCGGCGATTACTATCTAAGTACCCACAGCTGCGATCATCAGGCCTGGTCAATGATAACGTTACGATTAATATTATAATATTATTATTCTTATGATTATTATTGTTGTTATTATTACTATTATTATTGCAAGATCAAATAATCGGTTAAAATGATTTGGCAACGATAACGTTACAACTCATATTACGATATTATTATTGTTATTATTATTACACGATAAAATAATCGGTTAAAGTAATAATAATCGACAGTACTTTTCATTAGAAATGTTCATTACCTTTTGACTAAGTATTAATGATATTTTTCACAACTATCACGATTATGTTATATGAATTGAGCAGAACTGTTTTATTTCGATATTTTATGTGTTGATACGTTACTCAGAGTTTAACCCTTTGCGCTCGGTGCCGTCACAGTGGCGACATAAAATTTATGTTCAACAGAACACATTAACTTCAACAAATTTTTAATATCCATATATTTATTAGAAATCACCTATAGAAAAATAACTTTGTGAATTGATTGCTTGATTGCTTCGACTAGTTGGTGCTGTCACTAGAAAAATGTACCGATCGTAAAGAGTTAACACGTTGACTACCACGGTGGTTACCGATGACCGGAGCTTCGAAATTGCTGAAAGACAACTACAATAAAAAACTTGACTTCAAATAAAAATATTTAGTAACATAAGATCATAGCGTAATATGACTACTGTGATACTAAACCACTAATAAGTATTTTCAATATCATTTGCCTTTGTTATTAAAGAATAAATAGCACTATTCAAAATGCCAGAAATTTTCGTGGCAGCCAACGTGTTAATATTGAATTGAAAATTTTATAAGTTTGCTGCGTCGAATCAGGTGGCAACTAAAGGACGCTATTATTAATATATTAATATTACGTTATTATCGTTGTGATTAATGTTATTATTATTATTATTACTGTACAATAAAATAATCTCGATGATCGGTCAGTTCGCGGGGTTCCCCGGTGATTCGCGTCACGGATCGGTAGATCTGCCGCTATCTTCGCGAGATGCCCAGATAATTAGAGGTTAGGATATCATCGGGCAATTTCACTTTCGCGTGTGCTTTCTCCTTTTTCTATCCGCGGGCTCCCGGCTGCCAATCACAACTCGTTGGTCCAATTTGCTAATGCACAACGTTAATTGTCCAGTTAAAGTAGTTAGTTGAATTAGCGAATCGACGAACTCCGATCGGCAGATCCCGTTGCGATGCGACTATAAATGCGGTTTTCCATGGGAGCACACACCGGGCCGGACTAGTGAATGAAAGTCGGTCGTTTAATTCGATTAACTTGAATTTATCTAAATAATCCATCGTCGACTGAAGTTCACGGGTTTGAGATCGGCGCTGGGAGGATATTTCGTTCGGATAGCGGATAAGAGATAAGGGCAACGAACGCGATCGTGTACGATGACGGTGAATAAATTGTCGGATAAGAGTTTCGTAGAATAATTGTAAGCTCGGCTTTAATTACGTTGTTCTTTTATGTTACGCAATTGTTTTGCAGTGAACGTTTATTCTCCGTAAATAGTAATCGGTGATTAATGAATTTTCTGTCAAATTTTGTGAGGTTAGAATGAATAATGGAATGATTTGTTACGAATAAGTAATTATCTGGATAAAGTATCGATTAATACTAGAACTACTTATTGATAGATAAAAGCATTCATTATTTGAAATGATCTTGAAAATGAATAGCTTCATTTGAATACTGTAATGAATGTCTGAAAAAACTGAAAATAATATTGTTACAGATTTTTATAGGAATTACATGTTAATTATATTAAATGATAGTTAGTTCTAGTGTTAATGAAATTTGTTGGAAATAATAAAATAGTCGAAGCGGAAACTTATATACAAGATTCTGTGCGAGTTGTCTAAGGGATAATTAAAATTCTTAATTGTGAAAGATAATCGTATAAATAAGCCACGTGAAATTTCTGATGTTTTTATTTGTCAACAAAATGCTCGGTAATCCTAAAAATATATCAATATAATCACCGACGCTCGTGTTTCTAGTAGCTGAAATTTATCCGGCGTACAATGCGCTAATACCACAGAAATCCTAACGACAGTCTTCCGCAACGTTCGCATTTTGCATTGACATTGGTTTGTGTCTCTTGAATAAGTTTATGACATAGTGGAAGTCGTGCGATTGCACGTGATTGACCGTGTATGTTCTTTGTACGCGTATAACCACGTTTGGAGTTGTTGTTAGAAGAGGACTGTGCTTATCTTTTCTTTTGTAAGCTACTTCTGAAATTCCTAGAAATTGTCTGAATAAAAATCGTTGAAATTTAGTCATTGGTATTTTTTTTCTTCCTATCAGAAATTTATTAACAGGAACTTCGATATGTGTGCTTTATTAACAAGAAGCTTAATCATTCTTTTTTTTAAACTTAATCCTTTAATTTCCGAGATAATTCTAACTTTACAACTATAATCGCTATTATTGAAAAATTTATTATAAAACCCTCAACTCTATCATTGATTAATCATTAAGCTTCAAAAGACTAGTAAATCATCGCTAGAAGATAAAGTCTTACTATTAGCCAACGCTGCAATGTTTGAATCTCGCGCTGCACACAACCATACTATATCCTACACTGTCTATAAAGTAAAATAACTATACAAATATGAAGGAATAGTTGCGGTAATTGCGCGATCCTCTTTGCAGATATTGATTCAACGCATTTTATTTAGCAGTACTTCTATATTGACATTATATAAAATTTAATTGCCTTGATCAATGGTTTCAGGAAACTGAAATTAAAGCACGTTTTATTAAACTTTCTACTTCATAGTTTCTGGAAGATTTGTATATTCTATACATATCTAAATCTATCTATTAACCTACCAATTAATTCTTGATACATTACAGTTTATCTTTTAATGTTAAAAGAAGATACATAAAAGAACAAAATTGAATAACAGAATGAAACAAATAATTGTATATACAAAGGACCTAACCTCTCATCCCAATATCACGATATAAATAAATATTTCAAAAAATTCAGCTTAAAGTAAATATTCTTTCCCTCACGAAATCTGCGTTATCCTTGAACACTTAACATATTCACTGCCAAATAAACACTCATTAGAACTCCTACACAGTCGAAACAGTTTTCTTAATAAAGCAGAAATTAAAGAGTCAGAAAGAGAGAGCCAAGCGAGTTAAAATTATTTTTCAAAGTTCACTCATATATTCAGTATTGGCTTCTCGACATTTCTAATGACAATTATAAAATGAACTATTGAAAACGTTCAAAATTTAGTCTTTTAACAAAGCATTAACGATAAAGTAATTGCATCGATCATATTAAGGAAGAAATCATAAGGCAAGGAGTTAATCTAAAATTCCAAAATACATCTTTCGACACCTTCAGTATAAACCATTCATTTCTAAGCAACTCGAACACTATTTCACCCTTCTCGCACCTACCCCTTGGCATCTGTTGATTCCACGTCTCCTTTAACACTAAAAAACTATCAAAGGTGTCAAAATGACCCATTCCTGATTTCTCTTTCTTGCAATTATTAAAAAGATAGATATTCTTCCGAAAAATCATTAAAAAAATTGATTTAGCAATGCATAGACTTTTTTCCCGCGCCTCTCTATCTTTTCACCTTTCGCACTCGAGAGATGAAGGACTCTTACTATTCGATTCGATATACCAAAATCATAATGTCTTACACACAATATTAAACTCCGTATAAATATAAATATAGAAACAATAACTTTGTTTATTAACGTGTGTATGCTTTACCATTCAATTCTCAATAATTCATTGAAAAATAAACATTTCTAGTCAGACTTCCGAGTGTAAATGATTAAATATCAGATTTTACGATAAAGATTTCCTACGATAAAGCTTCGAAATTTAATATTCAATATTACACCTCGTACAACGCAACGTAACACGTTGCATACCGGTAACGAGAAATCTCGTTTTTATATAAAGACACTTAGCTATGCAGCTTCGCTAATTACCACGGCATTGAAAAAAATATAAAATTTAATTCGAATTGATTATCTATTTAAAATATGTTACATAACAATATGATACCTTAGTTTCTCTATGTATAGTGATATAAGTTGACCTCAGTGAAAATTGCCATCCGCACAATTCAGTTTTCTGAAAATCAACCGGTACGCAATGTGTTAAGAAAGATAAACTAGAAAATAATTAGTAAATAAAGGGAATAAACAATCTCCGTTCCCCAACATACATACAATCTCCCAATTTTCCAAAATATCTCACCATCAAATCCTAAATCATCCCTAATAAAAGCCTGCCAACCGCAAATGCTCAATATTTTCAAAAATATTCCCTCCTTAGCAGTACTCCCAAGTCAGAAACCCCGAGCGCAGACATCGAAATCATTTTTTCGTCTCAATCATTCCCCCACAGACGGTAGACGACAGAGTGCATGGACGAGCAGCTCGTCGAAGGGATGGCAGAGGGGTGTATTGGTGAAATGACAAAGCGACGTCGCCGCCGGTCGGTCGGTCGGTCGGTCGGTCGGTTAACGATAATCCGTTCGACACTTTGTCCCGTCCGATCGTAGATTGTCTGCGGCGCGGGTGTGTGATCTCACTCACACGCGCACAACGTGGATCACGTAGCCCTCCAGTGATCTTATAAAAGCGGCCGGCGCGCCGGGCATCGGCATCTCTCGCAGCCGACAACCGCTACGCGTTACAAGTGCCAACCGTCTGTCTTCTTTTTTCCCTCTCTGTCTCTCTCTGTCTCCTCTGTTGTGTACACCCGAAAATGGTGCAGATCGTAGGAAGATACCAATACGTCTCGAACGAGAACTTCGACGAGTTCGTGAAGGCGCTGGGCCAACAGGAATTGGCCGCGCCGTTGCTCGCCTCGAAACCTATCATCGAGATCACGCAGAACGGCGACCAGTGGACCGTTGTCGTCACGTCCGACGAAAGGAGCAGCACCACCACGTTTAAGCTGAACGAACCGTACGAGGAGAAGCTGCCTTCTTTCGAACGCAAGTTCCCGGTGAGTAGAAATCATTAACACGTCAACACTAGAACTACCGTGACAGTCAAATGACTGGTTTCCCTGTTTCGCAATTACTGATACCTTAACCCTTAGCACTCCAGGTTGTTTTGTAATCTATCAGCAACTGCAACTAATTTTTACAGTATTCCTAGCGAAAATAAGAAATGCTATAACATTTCTTCGATCTTTTATTCTCCTTCTTAGTGCAAAATTTGGATGTGTGGAAAATTTAATAATTTTACGGTAGTTTCTTTGCGATTCATTAAAATATTTAATATTATAACTGGTGCAATATTGGAGCCTATAGAGTTCAAAGGGTTAAAAACATTGATTATTCAAAATGATTTCGAAAATAAATAGATTCACGTGAATACTATAATGAGTATTCGAAGAAACTGAAAATCATCTATCGTGACAATTTTTGTAGGGTTCACGTTTCAATCGTATTAAATGCTCGGTAGTTCTAGTGTTAAATGCCGCGCGACTTCATAGAGCAAAATACACAAAATGGAAAACGTGTAATATTAAGTCACTTGATTGAATTGCATTATTGTCGCAGGTTCATATAGCTGAATGTCACCGCATTAAATAGCATTATTTATAATATAGAAATGCTTTTAAATAATCATCATTTAATTGAGCGAACTATGGTAATTCAATTTGGTTCGGGGTCACCGGTGTCCCCACGGCATTCAACGTGTTAACATTAACGAATCGAAGTGGGTAATTTCTAGTTTTCTATCGAAAGTTAGAATACGTTCGTTGAGATTCGAAGAGTTGACTGGTCTTGTATCCGTGCAGATACACAAATTTGAAAATATTTCGCAAACGCCCTCGTAATTTGAATACTTGTGGAACAAACAGTCTGAAATGGGTGAATTTGAGCCGTTCGGTGGTTTTGGTGTTAGATAAGTGAAATACAAAAGTGTTCGGGTTTATTACTGTTTGATTCTTTTGGAGATTGAGATTAGAATGTTGGAGGATATTGTTTTTGATACTCTTTGCTACGATCGTGATGGTGGATTTGATCTTTTGCACTCGATAGGTGACTCTCAGTCACTATTTAACCGTTTGCGGACGCACGTCGAACTTTCATGTTTATGATACTGAGTTGCGAGCAAATGATTTAGTAACTCGAATAGCAAGGTGCATAGTTTCCTTTTTCTCTATTATCTGAGCATCCGATGTATCATTTAGCAGAGTCTGCTGAGGGTTTTGTATACTGTAAAGAATCCTCGATCGTAAACGGTTAATTTGATACAGGAAAATCATAAAATCATAAATACATGCGTGATTTCTTGACAAGTTTCTTTCAAGAACGTTGTCTATAGCTCATCAGAAAGTGTTGAAGATTTCTAGTGAGAAACTTCCGAGTGCAAAGGGTGAATTCAATTGGAATGATGATGAAATATGGCGCTTGTGAGAGATTTATCTGGTTATATGTTGATGATTAACTTATTAGAGTAGTATGCACTATTGGATTCGATGTTTATAAGAAAAAATAAGATGTAGATGTTTGAGTTGATTGAATCATTTTTTGTTTGAAGAAACTATAGATTTAGATTTCACTTTTAATTCTTCGAAAATATTCAATTGTTAACGCTAGAACTATTAGATCTGTCAAAATGAAGCAATTCTTAACTTCTTCTTTCATAATTATTACAAAGGTACTGACACTTCTTTAAGAAATGATTAAAGAATTTGGTATAGTGATACCAAGCAGGAAATATAAAACAATTGAAATTTTATTAAATTCACGTTTCTAGCATTTATAAGGAAATATTCCAAAAACGGTTTAACACTTGAAAATAAATAGTTTCACTTGAATACTGTAATGAATGTCTAAAGAATCTGAAAATAATTTATTGTTACAATTTTTATACAGATTACATGTTAACCTTTTTAAATGCTCGGTAGTTCTAGTGTTAAATATGCCTTTGCCAATATTATATTATTATATAACAAACAAACAACAACATTCAAAATTTCTCTATTAAACCGGCATGAATTTATTAATCCGATCTCCGAATCTGATTTTCAATCAACCTCTGCCTCAACTCTTCAAACTGAATTTGATATTTTAATATTGAACTGCGCACAGCCGTCCAGTAATTCCTCCGAGGAGAATCTCTGGTTACACATCGAACGTCGAACCCGGGGAGATTGACTGCCGCGGTAACTCGAGCGGCAATTGACATCAGTTTGCTTGCAATATATTGTAATTTAAATGACATCTAATCGCAGATAAATGGTGGTATCGTTCGTCCAGAAATAAGCCAGATAAAAAATCGGTTTCGATAAAACTGGGAACACTGATATCGAGAGATAGTCCATGAAATTTCCTGTTCTCTAAGCTGTTTCACATCAACGATCGATCGTACTTTGTGAAATTACTTAAATTATGTACTTTATTTATGATAGAATCAGCAAAGATTACACATCAAATTTAGAAAGGAAGAAAGTTCGATTTAAGCTTGATACTTATAATATTGCAGATGTTTTTTCGATGAAAGATTCAGAGTTAGAACATTGAAAGGATTAAGATTGATCTAAAGATTCTTCTGTTTTTCATGGTTTCTATAATGTTTAACTTTCTGATGGTAAAAAATGAAATGACAACATGATAACATGGAGAATAATAATAATTTATGGTTATAAATGATTGTAATATAGCGACAGTGAATCTTGGATATTATATTAAAAAAAGATTACCAGAAATCAATTAACACAATTTTCAGAAAACTCAATTATATGGATGGCAATTTTTGGTAAGATCCACTTATATTGTTATACATAGAAAAACTCAGATATTATATTGTTATGTAATATATTTTAACCCTTTGACTTGCAATAACCTGTCAGTCACGTGCAGATTTTAAACAGAATGGAACAAGTATGAACATTGTTCGACGCTTTTGAGTTCAAATGAAATATTATTCTTCTGTTATCAACTATTATACCATAGAGCAAAGATTAATATAGAATATGCTTCTAATTCTGTTCCTTTTCTTAATAAATTATTAATAACGAAATAGTCGTATCGATTATAGCTGAGAAATAAGTGGTGATGCAAGGGGTTAAACAAATAATCAATTCGGATCAAACGTAATATTCCTTTTTAATGCCATGGTAATCAGTTAAGTTCCATAGCTAAGTTTTTACAGAAAAACGAGATTTCTCGTTATCACGCAATGTGTTAATTTCAAATGTGAATAACTGTAAATTGGAATTGTCAGTTTTTGTCCCATTTTTCCCATTTAATGGTACGTGAAAATTATGAAAAAATTCGGAGACGTTTCTGACATTGCAGTGCATGGCTGAGAATTTTTTAAGATTTTTCAATACCAAATTCTTAGCGTGAAAAATGAAAAACCTCTGAAAAACATAGAAAAATGTAGATTTCGCGATGAAGTATTCGAGCGACTTTAATTTTTATGGTGGTAGACATAACCCTCCTTAACCAGTTATATCTTTTCATTGGAACGTGATTATCGAAGGTGCTAAAGGAAACGTAAAAGAAGCGAGTGAATTTAATGGAACATTGATCTTTTAAAAAAGGAAGGAAGTAATAAAATGTAGAACGTATATTAATGGGGAGTAAGTTAATGTAATAATCATACCCTGCCGTTAAATAATGCAGGGGCTATTTATCCGATTGCTTCAATGAGAAGGCTATAAATAAAATTCTTTCTGCTTGGAACCAGCTACGTTTCACACCAGAACAACCGAGCATTTAACACGATTGATATCTAATCCCTATAAAAATTGTAACAATAGATTATTTTCAGTTTCTTTAGAAGTTCAGTATGTTCAGTGTAATCAGTATAAAAATTGTAACAATAGATTATTTTCAGTATTCAAGTGAAACTATTTATTTTCAAAATTATTTCGAATATTCGATGCTTTTAAGATAATTGCGAAATAAAAGAATCGAAATCAGCCATTTTGACTGTTAATTAACACTAGAACTACCGAGCACTTAATACGGTTACTATCTAATCCCTATAAAAATTGTAACAATAGACTATTTTCAATTTCTTTAGAAGTTCATTATAGTATTCAAGTGAAACTATTTATTTTCAAGATTATTTCGAATATTCGATGCTTTTAAGATAATAATTGCAAAACAAAAGAATCGAAATCAGCCATTTTCACTGTTAATTAACCCTATGATTTATTTTTTAACTAGTTTATTAGTTCTAGTCTTACCTTGAATATGCTAAGATAAATAAATTAAATCGAATTTCTTGGCGTTAACACGTTCCGTGTCACGTATACCATTTGTGAGAAAAGAATTTTAAGTGAAAATTTCAGGTGTCTTTTGACACCTTCGATAGAAATAGAAATATTAATTAATCGAGCGATCAAACTCTCCATTCGAAAACTTTCGCTCGAGCTTCTCCAGAACAAAATTTCTCGAAATAAACATTATTCGTTCGTCTGTTTGCAGAGCATCGCAACCAAGGAGGGCGAAAAGTTGAGGGTAGAAACAACTGTAATCGATGATATGAAGATCATCCGTGTCTACGAATTCACGGAGACCGGAATGCAAGTGGTAAGTGGAAAATAAAAAATATATATTCTTCGAAAGAAAAAATTTGATAATAGAAAATAACCCTTTGCACTCGAGAGAAATTAGCAGCTTTGATATTCGATATTAATATTGCTTCTTACTGGTTGATTCTTAAAAAAAACTGGGATGTTGATGATTTTCAATGAGATCAACTTATATCACTATACGTAAAATATTGAAATATCATCTTGTTAATTGATGCATTTTTCAATAATTTTAAAATAACCAGTTCTAATAACATTTAATACTTTGTTGACACTAGAACAACCGAGTATTTAAAACGATTGTATCTAATCCCCGTAAAAATTGTTAGTATAGATTATTTAGTGTTAACCCTTTGCCCTATGATTTCTTTCTGAACTCTGATCCATCCGACTATTTTGTTACTAAAAATGTATTGAAAATAAGAGAAAATTCCAGTCTCATTCTACGTCAATGTGTGCTCTAAGGTATAATAATCGACAACAGAAGAATATGTAATTTGCATTCAAATTAACTAATATTTTCTTTTGTTAAATTCTGTTTGAAATCTTCACGAGTCTGACACCATATTGTAGGGCAAGGGGTTAATCGACCATCACCATATCGTGAATAACATTTCATGATCGTCAATGGATGCCAACGGTACCCCAAGACGAAATTTTATATTTAATAATAATAATAATAATAATAATAATAATAATAATAATAATAATAATAATAATAATACAGAGTCATCGAGGAAAAAATGCAACAGAAATTCAGAGTGCAAAGGGTTAAAATGATCATAATGTACTTTATCGCGAATTGCACATTAGAAGGCGGTCGCAGACTAATTTTCTAATGATTAATTCAATAATTATTGAGACTAATTATTGTAACGATTTCCTTTTCAGCACGTGTCCGCCACCTCGGTCGACGTCAAGGCAGTACGTACATACAAGAGACTCTAAATAAAATCGAATATTTAGATAAATAAATAATATCACTCTTCCATATGAATTGAGAATAAAATTTTTTTACGATTTCATCGTTGTTCTTCTTCCCCGCCATCCACAGTGATCTTAACACTAGATTGACGGACATTTGTTATATAGTTTATTCTATTGTTCCCAGAAAGATTGATGTTCGTTTAGATCAGAGCTGGCCAAACGTGGCACATTGAATGATTGCAAATGGAGCAATAATGCACTAAACAATAAAGTGTTTCTCGAACTCGCGTAAATTAATTAATTCAATTGCGAGATGGAGTTATTTCTTTTCCTCCCCTAAGCGAAACAGATCCTACCCATCTCCCTATTTTCCTAGCCCAACTGTGAATGCAAGAAAGTCGAAGAAGTGCTCGAGTTATATGGCGCATCTGAACTTGTCTGTGAAAAAAATTGGCGTATGCAAAAGGTTGACCAGCTCTGATTTAGATCTAGGAAATGAAATGTTTAAAGCTGTATTACTAGGAACCATAATCACATTGGATTAATCAAAACCGACCCAAACATTTACAAATAATGTTTATAAAATTCAATATGAATGAAATTTACTCGTCCCGTAAATCTAGCGTTAAAAATTTTGAGAAACCACAAATAGGG